TTTTGATCGCTTGCAGTTGGCACGAGGGTTGCGTCTCTACCATGGGGGATGCTGGAGCAGCGCACACGGTTACCCATGAGCTAACCTCCACAGCTGCGAAGATACATGGAGTATGGACCCAAGGGGACTTCGGTTCCATTCTCTCAAAGAACAAGCAGAAGATCTTGAAACGTTCATTTATGAGGGCCTGCAGAAGAGCTTTGACTACAGGAGAGACGACGTATAAGGGCAGATCTTTCACTGCTCGTGATGTTCCTGTGGACACGAAACAAAGATTGCAGCCTCTTATGACTTCGGCAGCGCACAGCGCAGCAGTGGATGCTCCACCTCGCGAGATCTCGACACGGACCCCCAAGCCGAAGCCTCGCATACGGTACTTGACCTGGAATGCTGGTAGCCTGCCCTATGACGAATTTCTCATTTGGTGCAGCAGTGCTCCTTACGACATTCTAGTCATCACTGAAACCAGATATCGGTTCACTTCGGAGTGGACGGTGCCAGGCTGGTCATGCTATCATACAGGCAGTGCCAATGCAGGGGTCCTCATCATGATCTCCACTTCTTTGAGCACCACCGAGCGCATCACTTGGAGAGAGGTGGTCCCAGGCAGAATCCTGCATTTGGCTGTGCACGGGCATCAGACTCTCAACATCGTTGGAGTATATCAGCATGTCTGGAACCCCTCCAAGAAGTCGTGTCTCTCGGATCGCAAACGGGTTTGGCGCAACCTCCGAGCAGTGCTAAAACTATGTCCATCGAGACACATCGCACTGGTCCTCGGCGACTTCAACACAGATTGCGAAGCTCGACGGGGTCGCGTGGGGCCTCCTTTCTCGAACCAGCAGCCAAAGGGGTTTACTAGGTACGAGGATAGGGAGCACTTAGGCCTTATTCTTGATGATTTTGACTTGGTTGCCTTGAATACATGGCATGGGTGGCGTGCCACATATCAGTTTGACGGGCAGCATCAGCATGAGAGCCGTGTTGACTTTGCCATGGTTCGCTACAAGCATGCAGACAGGGAGGCACGCATTGTTGAGCACATACATGACTTTCCTGTGGCATGTCACAGAAAGGGTTCCAAACACCTGCCTCTTGCTGGGTCTTTGATGGCACATTGGACCCCGTGGCGCGCTCAGACTCTTCCGTCAGATCATTTTACCGCTCGACAGAGACAACAGATGAACATGGCATGTGCACAACAGTCGCAAACTTGGGTTGACATGAACGCTAACATATCTGCCCAGATTGCTGCGCTACCTGCTCCGACGATGCTCCAGGTCGAAACCATACTCG